CAATTCTCCTGCCTCAGCTTCCTGAGTAGCTGGGATTACAGGCACGCACCACCATGCCCAGCTAATTTTTTGTATTTTTAATAGAGACGGGGTTTCACCATGTTGACCAGGATGGTCTCGATCTCTTGACCTCGTGATCCACCCGCCTCGGCCTCCCAAAGTGCTGGGATTACAGGCTTGAGCCACCGCACCCGGCCACCAATATAATTTTTTAACGTCCATCTTTTCCTGAGTGATTTAGGCTGCTACCTGTGTCATATACTCAATTTCTATGTGCATAGATCTATTTCTGGACCTTCTATTCTGTTCCATTTGTTTGTCTATTGATGTGCTGGTACCATATGTTTTAATTATAGAGGCATTATGGTATGTTTAGTATCCAATAGAGTTAGTTCTTCATTCTTCTTTTTTTTTCTTTTTTTTTTTTTTTTTTTTTGAGACGGAGTCTCATTCTGTCACCCAAGTTTGAGTGCAATGAAGTGATCTCAGCTCACTGCAACCTTCACCCCCTGGCTTCAACCGATTCTTCTGCCTCAGCCTCCCGAGTAGCTGAGATTACAGGCACGCGTCACCATACCAGGCAAATTTTCTTTTGTATTTTTAGTAGAGGCGGGTGTGAGACACCATGCCTGGCCTATTCTTCTTTTTAAGGATTTCCTGGCTATAATTCCTGGCCAATTTTTTCCATATGTACTTTAAAATGAACATGTCTCACTCCAAATTATGTAAAATTTAAAATATTTTTGTGTTAATGATGTTAATGTTAGTGGTATAAATGGTGTGTGGTATAACCCGTATCTAACTGATCTCTCTCCTAAAGTACAGTCTGACATACATTCTATAGCATCAGTACTGCATACTTACTGGCGAGTTTCATGCTGAAATTGGTCAAATACCTGTTCTTACACTCAGTGTCCTGGTAATTCACTTGTTAAAATGTTTTCAGCATACCCTCTTCCAGGGTTTTGTGTGACCAGCTATTTCTAGAGTTACAGAATAAAGAGGTAAAATTAGCAGTAATCTTTTTCCTCAGCCTGGCTAGGACCAAGTGTATTAGCCCATTTTCATACTGCTCTAAAGAACTGCCCGAGACTGGGTTATTTATTTGTTTATTTATTTTTTTGAGACAGAGTCTCACTCTGTTGCCCAGGCTGGAGTGCAGTGGTGTGATTTCAGCTCACTACAACCTCCGCCTCCCAGGTTCAAGCAATTCTCTTGCCTCAGCCTCCCAAGTAGCTGGGATTACAGGCACCCACTCCGCACCTGACTAATTTTTGTATTCTTAGTAGTAGAGACAGGGTTTCACCATGTTGGCCAGGCTGGTGTCAAACTCTTGACCTCATGATCTGCCTGCTTCGGCCTCCCGAAGTGCTGGGGTTACAGGTGTGAGCCACCGTGCCCGGCAAGACTGGATAATTTATAAGGAAAAGAGGTTTAAGTGGCCCACTACTCAGCATGGCTGGGGAGGCCTCAGGAAACTTATGATCATGACAGAGGGTGAAGGGGAAGCAAGACATCTTCTTCACAAGGCGGCAGAAAGGAGAGTGCTGAGTGAAGGGAGAAGAGCCCCTTATAAAACCATCAGATCTCATGAGAACTCACTCACTATCACAAGAAGAGCATGGCCCATGCCCCCCACTCCATGATTCAATTACCTCCACCTGGTCTCTCCTTTGACACATAGGGATTTTGGGGATTACAATTCAAGATGAGATTTGGGTGAGGACACAAAGCCTAACCATATCACCAGTTAATTAATCCCCTCAACACCTTTACGGGGCCCTTGTTTCCCTGCTAATGTGCCAATAGGTGTTATAAGTGCCTAAGTGGACAAGCTATAAGGGCCAAAAACAGGTGGCAGTTTTATGCCCACGATATCACGTTTGTACAACTTTTTAGTTTTCAACATGCCTTCACATAGGTTCTCTCATTCATCCAGGAGATATTTGTGGCAAAGTAGGAAAGGCCCTCATCATTGAATCAGAACACCTGGATTTAGGTCCTCTTCTGCATCTCATTTTCATATGAGCTTTTCCAAGTTAGTTTACTTCTGACCTCTAGTTTCCTCATATGTAGAAAAGAGGATAGATAAACCTATTCTGTAGCGTTGTTACAAAAATTAAATAGGATTCATTTTTCAGCAAACATTTTTTTTCCCCCTGAGACACAGTCTCACTCTGTCGCCCAGGCTGGAGTGCAGTGGCACAATCTTAGCTCACTGCAACCTCTACCTCCCAGGTTCAAGAGATTCTTGTGCCTCAGCCCCCCACCCCTGCCCAGTAGCTGGGACTACAGATGTGTGCCACCACTCCCAGCTACTTTTTGTATTTTTAGTAGAGACAGGATTTCATCATGTTGGCTAGGCTTATTGAGAACTCCTGACCTCAGGTGATCTGCCCACCTCGGCCTCCCAAAGTGGTGGGATTACAGGCATGAGCCACTGTGCCCGGCCTCAACAAACGTATTGATCAGCCACCATGTGTCAGTCATGGTCTAAAGGACTGGGACCCTGGAGCAGAATAAGACACCATCTCTGCCCTCTCAAGAAGCCTGTGGTTTAGTGGAATGAATCCCACTCCTTCTGTCTGATACCTGGGGAGAAAAAGGAAAGTTTCAGCAGGATCAAAATTCTACTGTGGAAAGACTCAGAGACCGTATCTGTCTACATAGGGATCAAAACCACAAATAGGTGAAGCGATCAGGTTTGCCTGAGACAGTCCTAGTTTATATCTACTGTCCTAACATTTAAACCCTGGGCTGTTCAAACAAATTATGTCTGCATTTTGGTCCCTGGTTCTGGACAGTTGGTTTCCTGTGTGATAACAGGGCCCTGTTCGCTCTGCTGCTCTTCCATCCTCTAATTTTTGACCCCCAGTGTGTCTGCCCTTTTCAGAAGTTCCAACGTGAGCTCAGCACCAAATGGGTGCTGAATACAGTGAGTACGGGTGCTCACGTGCTTCTTGGTAAGATCCTGCAAAACCACATGTTGGACCTCCGAATTAGCAACTCCAAGCTCTTCTGGCGGGCACTGGCCATGCTGCAGGTAGGGATCTGAAGGGGCAGGGCTGGGTGGGGCCTGGCCTCAATGCTTAGGCTGCCAGAGGGGGGCATTTTGCAGAGGAAGGATACAGGCTGCCTTTCCTCCTGTGCGCTGTTCTTCCTATTAGGTGCATCTTCGCCTTAAGAAGTGTGTGTGTCCTGAAATACCATGGGGTAGGGGGAAGAAAGAAGTGTGTGTGCATGCATGGGTGTGTGTTTGTGAAACTGTAATTATTAGGCAAGGCTCTTTCAGTTACAAACATGTGATGGAAAACCAGTTCATACTGGTTTAAGCTAAACAAGCAAAATGACAGCTGATATAACTGAACAGTCTTAGGGCAGTTGAATCCATGTGTTCCAGAACTCTCTACCCTTAATTCTGCTTTCCTCTGTATTGCTCTCATTCTTTTTTTTTTTTTTTTTTTGAGATGGGGTCTTGCTCAGTTGCCCAGGCTGGAGTGCAGTGGTGTGATCTCAGCTCAGTGCAACCTCTGCCTCCGAGGTTCAAGTGATTCTTCTGCCTCAGCCTCCTGAGTAGCTGGGATTACAGGCACCTACCATCATGCCCAGCTAATTTTCATATATTTTAGCAGAGACAGGGTTTTGCCATGTTGGCCAGGCTGGTCTCGAACTCCTGACTTCAGGTGATCCACCCACCTCGGCCTCCCAAAGTGCTGGGATTACAGGTGTGAGTCACCACACCTGGTGTTGCTCTCATTCTTAGCCAAGTTTTCTCCATTAAGTGGCAAAGTGGCCACCAGTAGTGCCTGCCTGACATCCTACTAACTTAGCAACACTAGTGGGCAAAGAACTTGCCTATTCTGTGGTTCTTGGAAATGCCTGGTCAGGGGCTCTGGCTTGGGTCACGTGCATGTCCCTGAAGCAATCACTGTTCTCCCGGGGAAGGGGTGCTCTGCCCAGTCTGGTTCATGTGCTTTCCCTTCAGGATGGTGGTGGAAGAAGGGCTGGGAGGTGAGCCTCAATCCAACCTCATTATCTGAGCATGGGGGAGCGATAGATTCCCAGAGGAAAACCAAGGTGCTGTTACCAGAAGGAGTGGATGCTGACCAGACAGCACAACAGGTGGTCGTGAAAATGGGGTTGCCAGAGTCAGCAAATAAAAATACAGGACACCCAGTTAAATTTGAATTTCAGATAAATAAGGAATAATTTTTTTCATCAAATATGCCTTATGAAATTTGAGACTTTTGAATTTTTTTTATTATATATCTGGATGTCCTGTATTTTTTTTTTTTTTTTTTTTTGTGACGGAGTTTCACTCATGTTACCCAGGCTGGAGTGCAATGGCGCGATCTTGGCTCACCGCAACCTCCGCCTCCTGGGTTCAGGCAATTCTCCTGCCTCAGCCTCCTGAGTAGCTGGGATTACAGGCACGCGCCACCATGCCCAGCTAATTTTTTGTATTTTTAGTAGAGACGGGGTTTCACCATGTTGACCAGGATGGTCTCGATCTCTTGACCTCGTGATCCACCCGCCTCGGCCTCCCAAAGTGCTGGGATTACAGGCTTGAGCCACCGCGCCCGGCCAATGTCCTGTATTTTTATTCACAAAGTCTGACAATCTTATGTGAAAGGAATCAATCAAAACATTTAATGAGCACCCACCAGGTCCCCAAAATAATTATGGTCTTTACTGATGTCCAGTGGAGGTACAAAGAAGGTGGGGCCGGTATGCATTACAGCAAAAAGAAGGCCTCAGGGAGGAGGTGGTATTTGAGCTAGGCCTGTTGGTTATGACGTGGATAGATGGACAGAAGGGCATTCCTGTGAGGGCATTCACCAAGTCCCAGAAGGGGGACTGGGCATGATATGTGAGGGACACAGGTCTGACCAGAGTGGAGAGTCATTTTAGAGCATAGTGAGGGATTATGAAGATGTAGGAAGGGGAGGGATGTGGAAGCTTAAAGTCAGACAAGAGGCCGGGCGCGGTGGCTCACGCCTGTAATCCCAGCACTTTGGGAGGCTAAGGTGGGTGGATCACGAGGTCAAGAGAACGAGACCATCCTGGCCAACATGATGAAATCCCATCTCTACTAAAAATACAAAAATTAGCAGGGTGTGGTGGCATGTGCCTGTAATCCCAGCTACTCGGGAGGCTGAGGCAGGAGAATTGCTTGAACCTGGGAGGCGGAGGTTGCAGCGAGCTGAGATTGCATGGTTTCACTCCATCCTGGGCAACAGAGCAAGACTCTTCCTAAAAAAAAAAAAAAAAAAAAAACTAGACAGGAATGTGGACTTGCCACATGCAGCTAGACATGTGCTGTCCGAAGTACTGGCCACCAGCCACATGTGGCTACTGAGCACTTGAAATATGGCTAGTGTGACTGAGGAACTGAATTTCTAATTTTATGTAAAAACCAAAGCTGTATAATTTTAAAATTAAAAGTAACTTTAACATTTTAGTAGAACTACGTTCCACTTTTTAGCATTGCAAATCTAGCACCTAAATTGAGGCGTGTCGGTTGGGCCCAGTGGCTCACGCCTGCAATCCCAACATTCTGGGAGGCTGAAGAGGATTACTTAAGGTCAGCAGTTCGAGACCAGCCTGGTCAACATGGTGAAACCCCATCTCTACTAAAAATAAAAATAAAAAAATAAATTAGCTGGGCATGGTGGCATATGCTAATATTCCTATCTACTGGAGAGGCTGAGGCAGGAGAATCGCTTGAACCTGGGAGGTGGAGGGTGCAGAGAGCCAAAATAGCATCACCACATTCCAGCCTAGGTGACAGAGTGAGACTCTGTTTCAAAAAAATAAAAATAAAAATAAAGCCACAAAAAACCAAATCGACGTGTGCTATAATTGTAAAATACACACTGGATTTCAAAATGCAAAATAAAAATATAGAAAAATGCTGCAAAATATCTCACTAATAATGTTTCATATTGTTTACATTTGGTTATATATTGAGTTAAATAAAATATATTATTAAAATTGATTTCAGGCCGGGTGCGGTGGCTCATGCCTCTAATCCGAGTACTTTGGGAGGCTGAGGTGGGTGGATATCCTGAGGTCAGGAGTTTGAGACCAGCCTGGCCAACATGGTGAAACCCTGTGTCTACTAAAAATACAAAAATTAGCCAGATGTGGTGGTGCATGCCTGTAATCCCAGCTACTCAGGAGGCTGAGGCAGGAGAATCGCTTGAAGCTGGGAGGCGGAGGTTGCAGTGAGCCAAGATTGTACCCCTGCACTCCAACCTGGAATACAGCATGAGACTCTGTCTCAAAAAAAAAAAAAAAAAAAAATTCTCCTGCCTCAGCCTCCCAAGTAGTTGGGATTATGGCATGCACCATCACACCTGGCGAATTTTTTTTTGGTATTTTTAGTAGAGACCATGTTTCATGATATTGGCCAGGCTGGTCCCAAACTCCTGACCTTGTGATCTGGCCACCTCAGCCTCCCAAAGTGCTGGGATGAGCCACCATGCCCGGCCAATTTCACCTATTTCTTTTTTTTTTGAGACGGAGTTTCGCTCTTGTTACCCAGGCTGGAGTGCAATGGCGCGATCTTGGCTCACCGCAACCTCCGCCTCCTGGGTTCAGGCAATTCTCCTGCCTCAGCCTCCTGAGTAGCTGGGACTACAGGCACGCACCACCATGCCCAGCTAATTTTTTGTAGTTTTAGTAGAGACAGGGTTTCACCATGTTGACCAGGATGGTCTTGATCTCTTGACCTCGTGATCCACCCGCCTCGGCCTCCCAAAGTGCTGGGATTACAGGCTTGAGCCACCGCGCCCGGCCCACCTATTTCTTTTTTTAATGCAGCTACTAAAAACTTAAACTTACATATGTGGTTTGCATTATATATTTTTCTTCATTTTTATTTTTTTAGAGACAGGGTCTCATTCTGTTACCCAGGCTGGAGTGCAGTGGCACCATCATGGCTCACTGCAGCCTCAAACTCCTGAGCTCATGAAATCCTCCCACCTCAGCTTCCTGAGTAGTTGGGACAATAGGCGGGTGCCACCATGCCCAGCTAATTTATTTTATTTTTTGTAGAGATGGGGTCTTGCCATGTTGCCTAGGCTGGTCTCAAACTCCTGGGCTCAAGTGATCCTCCTGTGTTGGCCTCCCAAATTGCTGGGATTACAGATGTGAGCCACCGTGCCCAGCCTTGCATTATATTTCTGCAGGACAATGCTGAGCTAGACAGAGAGGAGGGTAGTGACAGAATGGAAGCAGTGTTTGCAGATGAACAGTCTTACACTAGTGTGCAAGATGGATTTGGTTAGGGAGGGAACTAGAGAGAGGGAGTCCAGATTACCAGCCTATGGGATTGGTGGGACACAGATGCAAATTTGACCAATTTGCCATTAATTCTCCAGTTTAACACAGCCAATCAAGGCCCACCACCAAGCCCTTTAACCCAGCTTTTCTTTACACCTGGGAATTATGGGTTTAGAATTGCCGACATGGACAAATCATCTATAGACTCTGCAGCCTCAGGATCCCAGCCTCCCACTCTCCCAGTTCATTCTTCTCCCTTGACTCCATTCTTAGTTCTTCTGGCCTTTAGCCTGACACTGATCTTACCACTTCTTCCATAGCGGTTCTCTGGACAGTCCAAGGCTCGATGCATCGAGAGCCTCCTCCAAGCAATCCACTTTCCCCAGCAACTGTCAGATGATATTCGGGCTGCTCCCATCTCCTGCCATGTCCGGGTTGCACATGAGAAGGAACAGGTATCCTGCCCACTGCTGGTCATTCAACACATACTTTTTGAGTACTTTCAATGTGTCGGGAAGTTTGGCGCTGGGTTTACAAAGCTCAGTGGCACCCTGCTCACAAGGACTTCTGCATTCATGGGGGAGACATGACTGTGACAAGTGGTCACTGAGGTGTGAAAAAGTACTACAGGGGCGGAGAAAAGGGTCTTCTATTCTGCCTAGGAGGGGAGTCAGGCAAAAGAGGGAGAAGGACTGGGTTTCAAAGGACAAATAGTTTTCCTGGTCAAAGTGAAGATTTCTCTCTGCTCTTAATTCACCTCCTTACCACTTTCTAGTCTTCATAACATCCTATTTTGCACCTAACCTAGTGACTCCTGATTCCTATATCAAATGTTTTAGCTCCTCCAGTGCATATATATATATATATATATATATATCTTTTTTTTTAGAGGGAGTCTTGCTCTGTCACTCAGGTTGCTGGGGTGCAGTGATGTGATCTTGGCTTACTGCAACCTCTGTCCACTGGGTTCAAGCGATTCTCTTGCTTCAGCCTCCCAAGTAGCTGGGATTGCAGGTGCCAGCCACCAACACCTGGCTAATTTTGGTATTTTTAGTAGAGACGGGGCTCCGCCAAGTTGGCCAGGCTGATCTCAAACTCCCGAACTCAACTGATCTGCCTGCCTTGGCCTCCCAAAGTGTCGAGATTACAGGCGTGAGCCACTGCACATGAACTTCCTCTGGGGTTCTTTCTCTGATGACCTCATTTCCTCAGGCTTCAGTGCCCGCTGCCTTTTCCCCACAGGTGATCCCCATCGCCTTGCTCAGCCTCCTATTCCGGTGCTCCATCACTGAGGCTCAGGCACACCTGGCTGCAGCTCCTTCTGTCTGTGAGGCTGTCAGGAGCGCTCTTGCTGGGCCAGGCCAGAAGCGCACAGCGGACCCCCTCGAGATCCTAGAGCCTGCCGTTCAGTGAACTGGTGTTTCTGGTTGGGTGAAAGGGGCCCAACCCTGCCCACTCCAGCCCAGCCCACCCAAGGGACTTGTGCCAGCAGCACATGTGGGAGGGAGAAGCCCCGTTTCCGGGGGCACCAGCAGCCCAGGGTGGGGAGAAGGATTCTCTCCACTTTGGGGGAGACTTCTTGCTCTTGACCTGGTAGTTTCTATTTTCACTCAATTATTCTGATTTCAGAAATAAAATGAAATGTCTTATTTTGGAAAGTTAACCTTTCAAAGTCAGTAAATCAAACTGAATAGATCAGAGGTGGGACAGGACGGATGGCATGGGTTGGTCTTAATAGCAGATTTGTTTGTTTAATTCTGCCCCCAACTCAATTTCATTGTCTCTAACAAGCCTTATATAGCATCCCTATATTCCTCATTAGCAACATGCAGCCAGGATGCATCATGCACACACACTCCAATCCCACACAGACAAATGATGAAGGGTGGGAACTTTTAGATAATTCCAGGACAAGAGGGAAGAAGCTGTGTCCCTAGCATAGGAAACCCAGCAAAAGGGCAGTCTTAATCAGACAGGACAAGATCCTTATCCCTAGAATGAATGCTACATTCATGCATTAGACCATGAAATGAGGGTCACATCTCCTGCCCTGTGTTTGTAAGAGGAACATAAGGAACTCTGGGGGTGCTGCACACCCTTGGTGGTGGGACCCAACAAACACTAGAAATTCCAGGCTGTACATTTTAGACACCAGGTGCCCCATGTTTTGACAAGGGCATGTTTGTTCATTCGAGATTCATGCCAGCTCTTTAGGGCCTGTGATATATGGCCCTGACAGTAGAGAGCTGGTTCCTCTTTGTGCCTGAGAAATATCCAGGTAATAGACACTCAGGAACATTCCTCTCGGAATGAAACTCTCTGGAAAGAGGGTGACTGGAAGGGAGCCAGACTTTGGTTTCATGCGGATAAAGTAATCAACCCCTTTGTGGTGGCCATACGTCCCTCTGCACCTGTGGGCCTGCAGCCTCTATCTGAGCTCTGTTTTCCTTTTCCACATCTTCTCACTGCTGCCTTGGATCATCAGCAAACCACCTTTCCCCAGCCACTGCTCTTACGGGGCCTCCTGAGTGCCACCCCTTTCATCCTTCACAAATACTTCTTTGAAATTCAAGATGGCTAAAGTTAGGAAAGGATCCTGCAAAAACCCTCTGTGTCTTTTTCCCCACAAGTCCCTTCCATGTTCTTTCATCAGGTCAGTTCATCTCTCAGCATAGTGTCATGAACACTGTCAAGTCTGAGAGAATACCTAGTATTCTGGGGCCCCAAAGGGCAGAGCATGCCTTGATCCTGTTGATGATGCCAACATGTACAGTAGCCCCCTCCCACATTTGGAGGGGTTAGGGCACAGGGTTAGATTTCTCCAAGGCTGGATGCAGAAGAACTCTAGAAGCCCCAAGATCTTTTAGTTGCCAAGTACGTGGATGGTATGAAGACATCGAGTGAATTCAATTCTTATGTAGTTGGACACAATATTTGGGTGTTGTGAACAAGGTGGAGTACTGCTCAGCCTTCGGGTACATTAGAAACTAGACACACTCTGGCCTTATGGCAGAGACAAAGATGACTAAGATCTGAACCCTACTTCCTAGAAACTCACAAGCACATAGCAATTCTAATATAAGACAGAATTGAAGTGGTTTAGAACAGCGGGGTAAGTACAGAGAGCTGCTAAGATTACGGGGCAGGCCAAGAGTCAAGGAAAGTTTTGGAAGAAAGGAGGCTGGGGTGGGGAAAAGAAACAGCCAAAGAAAATCTGAGAATGTTTGAAGACTTTCTCAGAAAGTGTATGTGGATCTGATATACCACAGAACCCGGTCATTGTCAATGGGATTCGTGCTCTAGGCAGAGCTAAGGAAGTTCAAAGATTTTTTTAGAACTATGCAGAGACAAATGATAGGGTGACAGCTTTTGCAGTTATTTGGAGAAAGTAAACATCTGAGGCCAAAAACAGCAAGAGAGTAATCCATTATTAATACAAGGCAGTAATTACGTAGAAATGACTAAAGGGCCTGGGCCTGAAGACTGGATTAGATTGTGGAAGATGAAGAAAACAATTTTCTGGGACATATATTTGCTGAATCAAAAGCAAAAGGGGGCCAGGCGTGCTATCCTAGCTACTTGGGAGGCTGAGATGGGAAGATCACTTGATCCCAGAAGTTCAAGGCCAGGCTGGGCAACATAACAAGACCCTGGCTCTAAAAAAAGAAACAAAACAAGAGGCGGTGGGGGCAAAAGATATTTGGATATTGCACATACTCTAAGCCTGATTTATATATATAGAAAATGGATACATAGTATATATTATGATATATATAATATATAATGGATATTATATAAATTCCATTATATGTATGTGTGTGTATGTGTGTGTGTGTGTGTATATATATATATATATATATATACACACACATATATATATATAATGGAACTCACGCTCTCTCCTCCAAAATCAGCTAGCTATTCTTTTCATAATTCAGATGGTCTTTTTTTTGTTTGTTTTTTAGGGACAGGGTCTCACTTGTTGTCCAGGCTGTAGTACAGTAGTGTGGTCATAGCTCACTGCAGCCTTGAACTCCTTGGCTCAAGCAATCTTCCTGCCTCAGCCTCTCAAGTAGCTAGGGCTACAAATGTGTACCAAAACACCTGGTTCATTTTTAAATTTTTTTGTAGAGATGGGGCCTTGCTGTGTTGCTCAGGCTGGTCTTGATTCCTGGCCTCCGGTGATCTTACTGCTTTAGTCACTCAAAGTGCTGGGATTATATGTGTGAACCACCATACCTGGCCAGCATTCATGCTATCTAATATTCAGATTGTTTTGAATGTTACACAGCCTGCGGCCAGCTCTTGAATATTAGATAAGCTGTAAGATTGAAAGAGGATGTTGGTAGGAGACAAAGGGGTCTCCATCTGGTTCCAGGGATGGCGTCTACAAACACAGCAAAATACCTAAGATCCTATGGAAACAGGATTGGACCCAATTGGACAGGTGGCTCAAATCCTAGGGTTGAGAGGACAGGTACTGTATCTAGGTGCTGCAAAATGCTCCCATCCTGGGAGAGAGAAGTGGGTCATTTTTAAGCTAGTGACTGGGGTGCTGTGGAGTAGGAAAAAGAGACAAGTAGAGAATCCCTGGAGCATCTTATAGTGACAGAAAGTAAAGAATTGCTCAAAATCTCCACAAGGATGAGAATATGTCAAAGGGATACAGGACCCAATGTGAAAGAGCTCCCAGTGCCTAAAGTGGGAACAATTTGAGCAACAAATAAATACACAAGCTGGGTACGGTGGCAGGTGACGGTCAGCTACTTGGGAAGCTGCGGTGGGAGGATCAATTGCTTAAGCCCAGGAGGTCAAGGCTGCAGTGAGCTGTGTTCATGCCACTGCACTCCAGCCTGGGTGACAGAGTGAGACTCTGTCTCAAATAAATAAAATTTAAAAAATATATTTAAAAATACTTGGTTTTAAAAAATACATAAATACACCTGAATTCATAACATTATAAGCAAATGATTGAATAAATAAAGTGGGGGCAAGGTACCAATCTTTCCTAAAGAAGAATTCTAAATAATAAAACACACACACGCACACACACACCCAGCCCTTTAGGAAATGGGGCTTAACCACCCCACACCACCTCTCCTCCCAAGTGTGTTAGATTTATGGGCTCATTCACAAAAAACAGAGTATGGGAAAGGGAAGTGATTTTACAGTGGAAAAACCTGGCAAGCACTACCCTAATCAGGTAATCAAGATCAGCATCGCCAGTTGGTATCACATACCTCCTGATATACTGAGAAGAACATGTCACCTCTGTGGTATTCTTCCCCCAAACACACAACCTCAGTCTAAGCATAAAGAAAATATCACAGTAACCCAACTTTAGGGACATATTACAAAATACCTGTTCATATTACAAAATACCTGAAAATTTTCAGTCATGGAAAACAAGGAAAGACTGAGAAACTGTCAGAGACCAGAAGAGCCTCAGGAGGGATGACACACATACAGTGTGCTACCCTCGGTTGGATCCTGGAAATATAAAGAACTTTAGTGGCAAAACTGGTGAAATTGGATGAAATCTGGAATTTAGTTAATAGCAAATACACCAATGTTAATCTCATTGTTTTGACGAATGTACCAAAGTTATCTAAGATGTTAATGTTAGGTGAAACTAGGCGAAGAATATATGGGAACTTGCTGTACTATCTTTGTAACTTTTCTGTAAACCTGAAATTATTTGAAAATAAAAAGTTTATTTAAAAAATAAAATTAAACTGAAAGCCTTTCCTCTTAGATCTGGAACATACAAAGATGCCCACCTTCAACGCCGTTATTCAACATAGCACTGGAAGTCCTAGCTAGAGCAATCAGACGAGAGAAAGAAATAAAGGCCATCCAAATTGGAAAGCAAGAAGTCAAATTATCCTTATTTGAAGATGATGTGATCTTATTATTATTATTTTTTGAGATGGAGTCTCACTCTGCTGCCCAGGCTGGAGTGCAGTGGCACCATCTCAGCTCACTGCAACCTCTGCCTTCCAGGTTCAAATGAATCTCCTGCCTCAGCCTCTCCGAGTAGCTGGGATTACAGGCACCCACCACCATGCCCAGCTAATATTTGTATTTTTAGTAGAGTTGGTTTCACCACGTTGGCCAGGTTGGTCTGGAACTCCTGACCTCAGGTTTTCTACCCTCCTCAGCCTCCCAAAGTGATAAGATTACAGGTGTGAGACACCACACCTGGCCAATGTGATCTTATATTTGGAAAAACCTAAGTACTCCATCCAAAGACTATTACAACCGATAAAAAAATTCAGTAAAGTAGTAGTATACAAAATCAACATACAAAAATCTGTAGCATTTCTATATGACAACAGTGAACAGTCTGAAAAATAAATTTAAAAAGTAATCCCATTTACAGTAGCCACAAATAAAATACCTAGGAATTAACCAAAGAAGTGAAAGATCTCTACAGTGAAAGCTAAAAAACACTGATGAGAGAAATTGAAGATGACACAAAAAAACGGAAGGATACTCCATGATCATGGATTGGAAGAATCAATATTGGTAAAAGGTCTATAGTACCCAAAGCAATCTGCAGCTTCAATGCAATCCCTATCAAAATATCAATGACATTCTTCACATAAATAGAAAAAACATCCTAAAATTTATATGGAACCACAAAAGACCTAAAATAACCAA